AAAATTGATTAGATGCTCTAAATGATTGGAAAAAACTTGAATTGGAAGGACAATGTGGATAATTGTATTAGATTATGTTTATATTAATATTTATTTATTTTAAATTTCACAATTTTTATTGGGATTTTTAGGTTTTTTTTATAAAATAAAAAAAAAAATTCGTATGAAACCCATTATTATCAAACATATGCAAATCCAATTCTTAAACATTAATCCATCAAATTCCACTTTTTCTAAATATTTATTGGCGGTTACATGTCCACGATCCGCTCTCCGTACCTAAGAGTTAAGTATTCGTAATTGGCCAATAATTGAAATTACCTCTGGCCAATTCATTGTAACAAATTTAATAAATAGCGAGCGGAAATAATATTTAAGTGATGGTACCAAAATAATCATTCGAGTTTTCTATTTTTTTTACAAAATTTAGTGCAACCAAAAAAGGTCGATATTTACATATAAAAAATATTCATAAAAGTGTTGTTATGTGTTCTTATTCTGCAGTCCGCCGTTCTAAGACTTTCCCCAAACGTTATTTCTGAATTGCCGTTTGTTCCCTGAAAATTGGTAAACAGCTAAAGCTCCATGGCAGAGTGAGAAAATATTATACTAAGAGCATAAGGGCATAAAATTACCATTGGAAAATTTGGCTAAACAAAACTTGAATTAAAAACAGGAGTATATAATACGGAGATCATTTTGACATATAATTAACAGAAATCATATAACAAAATAATCATAACACGGTTACCCATAACGGAACAGAACAAATGTATGGGACTCAAGAGGCGGTTCGTTACGACTAAGAGGGTGGTTTCGTCGAACTCTAGAAGTGGGGCTTCACACTATAGTGTGCACTTAGTTCCGTACAGTACTTTGCTCCACACAGAAAAGAATCAAGGAATGTCAGTGGATCATGATGGACAGAGGGTCACAAAGTGACTAATCAGAGGGCCAATGGTTATTTAATGTCCTCAAGACATGGGACCTCTGTGTGGTACTTATAAAATAATTACTTCAAAACATAATTTTAATCAACGTTATATCCAAGGGTTTTCCTTTAGTATATAAAAATAAGATTTATAAAATAAATAACATAAATTAAAAAATGCTAATATAATATATAAATATAATTACGTAAAATAAATGCAAATATGGTAAGTCAAAACATACATAAAATATATTTTGGTAACTCAAGGTATAATATAACTCACCTTAACTTTAATACCTCACTCTTTCTTTCCACTATCAAAGGCCTTCTTTACTCCCGGTATTTTCTTCCCCCTTCTCTGTTTGTTTCTCCATGTTCAATCCATAGCATCACCCCTCTTTATATACCAGGGTACACTATTTGCTCAGCAAGTTTTGAGTGACACGTAGTCACGCCACGGCGCCTTGCCATTATTATATCCTAAACTCAAGCTTGTCCTCAAATGAATAAATTTAAGTAATTTTTTTTATTTTTTTTTATTTTTTACAATGACTCTGATGTAAATAAATTATACTTTATTTTATTTTACTCTTACAAAATATTTAATTAAACATTTAAAGTTTTTTCATTTATAATTAAATAATACTAATATAAAATTTAAAGAATAACTTAAATTTTTGAGTTGTTACATTGCAATTACCATTAATATGATAAAGGAATCAATCAAAAATTACAATTTCATAGGAAATTTCGTACATGTCTCTTATATATTTTATGCACCCGCTATCCTGTTATTTTCTTTAATAAAATCATTGCAATTTGTCATTTAAATATTTATTTTGCTTTTAAAAAATCTCTTTTATATATTCTCTCTCCATTCAAACTACTCTCACATTTCTCTATTTTAATAGTGCAACTTCAACGGGTTGAACCTAAGCCCAATCCTACTGTGTTTAGTTGAAAAATTTAAGAAAGAATTCGAAAAAGGAAATGAAAAATGTGTATGAAACTATATGATATATGAGTATATTTTATTCACTTTTTACTTACTTTTTCTATTTCTCTTTTTAAATCCCTTCTCAAATCTCTTAATCAAATACAATGTCAGAAAAACTTTCGAGTTTGGACTAATGTTTGAAATTTTAGAGTTTGATTTAGGTAAAAATTTACAAACACAAATTAAATTCGAGTTGGGCCTAGATAGGGAGAGTTTAGTAACTTGGGTCAGCTCATTGCTCCATCATCCTTGGCACTATGACTTGGGGGATTTTATTTATACTCAAAAAATCATTAAGTATTCTCTATTTTTAAGCACACCTTATTTAATTATTTAAAATTTTATTTAACTCTCATTACAACTTATTATTTTTCTCAAATTACCCTCAAGGTAAACCCAAATAATAAATAATAAAACTAAAAAAACTAAATTATTTCAAAAACTTTTCAATACAGAAAATAATTCTCAAATATAGAAAAAAAAAAAAACCAAACTTATAAACACATAAACATTATAAATACAGAAAAAAAAAATCAAACTTTTACATTATAAATTATCCACAAGAATGATCGTAGAAAAGTAAAAACCAAACTTATAAGCACATAAGTATCAGGCACTAACAAGAAAGAGTAGTTCTCAAATAATATACTATTTAAATAATAAAATAAGAATAATTTCAATAATATGTTATTGTTAATCTAATTATTGAACCCTTTAATTTTTGTCAAAAAAAACAATATAAAAAATAATTTATAGTGCTCTACAAAAATTGTGAAACCTCTTTATATGAATACTTACCTTCTTTTTGATGGGTTGTTTCAAAAAACTATTTTGATTATCACTCTCATTCATTATTTGATTTTGTTCAAACTTTCTTCTAGGGTTAAGGTTTTAAAATAATAAAAAAACAATGATTTTGAGTTTTGGTAGGGTGGATTGGAGTTTTGGAAGAAGAAGAAGAAGAAGAAGAAGAAAAAGAAGAAGAAATAAATTTGATCTCTTGGGGAAGAAGATACAGAGATTTGAATAGAAATAACTGATTAGAGTGTATCATGAAAAAAACATATATTTTATTTTAGGGTTTAATATGTGTTATCCTTATTAGTAAATTCATATTAGGATATAATATGAATTAAAATTTATGAATTTAAATTGAGTGATGCTATTAGCACCTCATAAATTATTTTGGACCCCCAATTTTCAGCTTTTTTTTTTATTACAATAATAACCTTAAATAAAATTACTACAAAGGACATCATTTATTTTGAGACACCCCGTCTCACAATTAAACCTACACACCCACTACATCATGAATTAGGGTTTATGAGAGCACCCACCTCCATCACCACCCATCCATCTTTTCCAAATCCTACCTTCAAAACCTATCCACTCTCAAAACCTTGAAAATCCTTTAATGGCAATATTCCGGCGATAATAGTGGCAACCATTTGATTACCTATACTTTTTCGACTATGACAATGAGTGAAAATTTTTCTAGTAACCATAACTCCATAAGACGAGAGGAGTACAACAATTAAAACTTAGAGGAGGTTCATAACTTTGATGTTGTTCTTAACTCTGAGGAGATTGGCCTTGTAAGGATAAGTTTCTTGAAAAAAATGACAAAAATAATAAAATATGTTCATCATTTTTTTCGGACTGAACTCCCGAACATATGACCGAAATTCAGGAATATAGGCCTGAACATTGTTTATTTGTTTTGGAACCGGTAACCGAACATTGATTTTGAACTTTTTGTGATCTGGGATGAGTCTCGAATGAAGAAAACTCGAAGAGCTGAATCGTTTTAAGAACTGGGAATTGGAGATTTTTATTTTCGAGAAATGATTGTATGATAGGTTAAAGTAAGGTTAGTGACAATCATAGACAAATTTTGTATTTGAACATCCCCTGAAAAATTATTGTGGCTCAAATCAAGAGCTTGGATTTGAGAACAATGAAAAATATCAGATGATAAGTTGGTTAAATTGGCAAAGACAATATATATATATATTTTTTTTCTTCTTCTTCTTCTTCGTGGGTTTTGAAAAAGATGTGACTCCTCGTCTTCTTAGTAGGTTTTGTTAGCGTTTTTTTGGAAGTGAGGTTTTTTTGGGGGTGTGGGGTGTGCATTCAATGGATGAAATGTTTAAGGATAATTTTGGTATTATTTGGGGGGAGAAAAGAAATTTTAAGGGTTTCAAAATTTATAAGTAGGGGTCCAAAAAAATGGAGGATTCAAAATAATTTATAGACTGCTAATAATACCACTCTTTAAATTGGATGAATTGAGATATATTTTGGGTTAAAATAGCATTCCCCTATTACTTGGGAAACAACACACAAGCCCAAGGCAAATTCACTAACAAATAAAAAGTTGCTTTAAAATTGTTGGGATATACCTCCTTATTGGAGTGTGGGACCCAGTTGATTTATTAAAAGAGGTTTAATTTGGCTTGGTTTAGTATAATATATTTTTATATATTATATTTGAAGAGACCCAATTCAATTTGGATACAATTAAGATTTAATTATAAAAATCCAAGATTCACAACATATATAATATAACTAATATATATATTGTTGGTTCTTTACCTTTTTCCGAAGGACGTGAGGAGCAGCTATTTTGTTTATTCAATCTCTGTACATGTGCTACAAATTGATTCAAGTTTTGTTCTTTCAAAAGCACTATTATTCGGTGGCTGGCGTGTGGAATTTTCTTCACATCGTTTCGGCTGTTTTGGTGGAATTGATTTGGGTTGTTATTTTGGATCTTCTACAACTTTGGTTTTGAAGATTTTGGTTCATCTATTTGGTGAGGTCTTTCCTCTTATTTATTTGTGATTATTTGGAATTCACCTAAGGGTGATTTTGTGAGACCATTAGTGTCTCTTTTGTAATCGTTTGGAATTATTTGGTTGATAGTAGAATTGGATTTCGATCCCGTAGACGTACCTCACATTGAGGGAACCACGTAAAAATTCTTGTGTTGCCTTTGATTTAATTTTTCTGCATTAGTTTTTATTCCCACTGATTGATTTACTTGTGGGGAATCATCGTTTTTCCCTAACAAAAATGTTCTCAAACAATGTTTTTAGGCCTCAACCAAATCCAATCTAGTTCACAAAAAATAAAAAAATCCCAATCCAATCCAAGCAATACATTTGAATTAAAACAAGTGAAAAGATTCAAATGCTCTCTGCAGCTCTTACTGCAAAATCATGAAACTTAGTACCACAACTGCCTACAACAACTGCTACAACATTTAGGACCCTATTGACAATGTTGTTCTCTCTCTCTCTCTCTCTCTCTCTCTCTCTCAAGTTAGTATGAGATAGGCATCCCTTCCATCATGCTGTGCAATAGGGGTGTCATTGTTTACAAGATAACCGCTGAGAAGCACAAAACACTAATTTAGCAACCCTTGAATTATTAATCCTGCTTGGCGTTTCATCATCATCTTCCACTGACATCACATTTCCTCCTCCAGACAATAAACCTTTCATCTTCAACCAATTTTCAAGTTGAATAGCCTCATCCAATCTCTGTACTACTCTGTCAAAGCATAGATACCGCCCCCCGGCTCCATAATCCATGGCTTCATACGCATGAATGTGTACCTCTGCTGCCTTTCCTACATCTTGAGTCGCTAGGATGCTTCTTTGTAGCATCACTTGGCCACCTACGCAAAAAGTCCTTAGCGTGGTAAATCGCAATTCAACAAGCATTTGTCAATGTCTGCGCCTCTAGAGTTGCAAACATTGCAATGAAATCAACAAGATTGTACATGTGACAAGTTGTTGAAGAAAAGTTGGCATTTTGGAGTTTCTAAATATTTTGTTTTGGATTAAAATATGTGCATAGTATAGATCATGTTACCAAAAAAAAAAAAAAAAAACAAACTACAAAGTATAATTACCTTTAAGATATGGTAGTGAGGTTTCAATGTGTGCATTTGGGAAAGATGGTGCCATGAGAAGGGCAGGGCAAATGGTAATAAGCTTCACCTTCAATTCCCTCGATTTCCTCCAAGCCGCCTTCTCTGCTGTAGTCTTACCCAAAGCAAGCCAAAGCTGTTTTTCCCAAAAAATAAAAAATAAAATAAAAACAAAACAAAACAAAAAACAGAATGGTCAACAAGAGGTCAAGATGATATCACACGTCTTCCAACTAATTCGATCAGGATTTAGAGAGTGCTCAAAAGAGAGGGAAAACAAAAAAATAAATTGAAAAAAGACTTTCTTTAATAATTCTAATGCGTATCTATACTATATATATAATCAAATGTAGTGGCTTTGTCAAAAATCTGTAAATATTCATTCCTAAATTCTCATAATTTTAAAATTCTCTCTTTCTTACGTGGCAACCCTTTTTGATTGTCTTTCGTGTTTTCTATTTTCCTCAATTTTCTATTTGTTTGATTAATTAAAATAAAAATTAATTTCATGGTTTATGGATAAAGATTTGAATTTCAAAATTCCATCATATAGATAAACATATAAAAACTGATAAATAACTTATGAAAATTAATTTCATGGTATACAGATAAAGATAAAAATTAAATACTTAATTTCATAACTTATAGATAATTTAAAATTTCTTCCCATAAATAAGCATATAAAAATTGATAAATAATTTATAAAAATTAATTTCATGGCCTACTGATAAAAATAAAGGTTAAAAAATTGATTTTAAAAAAAATTACTCATGTTGTTTGCCCTTCATTTTGTACTTTAATTAATTTCATTATAAATGAACATATAAAAAAATCATAAATAATTTATGGAAATTTATTTCATGACATTTAGATAAAGATAAAAATTTTAAAAATTATTTGAAAAATAATAATTTCATGGCTTATAGATAAATAAACATATAAGAATTGATAAATAATTTATAAAAATTAATTCCATGGTCTACAGATAAAGATAAAGATTAACTAATTGATTTACAAAAAAAAAATTAAAACAATAAAATTTAGATAAATATATGATTTGTTAATCTATATCTATCAAAAACATATCTATCTAAATCTTTATTTTGGTTTACTTATATTTTTTTTCTTCTTTTATCACATATTATCTTTTTTTATTTTGAATTTTTTATTTTGTGCAATACTCTTATCTATAACTTCTTATCTCCTCTTAACCTACTCCTCATAATTTTTATTATTTGTTATTATCTACCAAGTGATAAAGATATATATAAAAAAAGAATGGTTGGCTATGAATAAGAAAAGAATTAATAATTAAATAATGAAAGCTGTATGGGAGAAGGCAATACAAAAATCTCACAAAATTATTTTCCGTCACTGTTTTTATCCAAGGTAATAATTTGATATTCTTTCTTTTAATTTTTAAAAATAGTTTACATTAGATCATTGCTATGTGTTTGGTTGATAGTAGAATTGGATTTCGATCCCGTAGACGTACCTCACATTGAGGGAACCACGTAAAAATTCTTGTGTTGCCTTTGATTTAATTTTTCTGCATTAGTTTTTATTCCCACTGATTGATTTACTTGTGGGGAATCATCGTTTTTCCCTAACAAAAATGTTCTCAAACAATGTTTTTAGGCCTCAACCAAATCCAATCTAGTTCACAAAAAATAAAAAAATCCCAATCCAATCCAAGCAATACATTTGAATTAAAACAAGTGAAAAGATTCAAATGCTCTCTGCAACTCTTACTGCAAAATCATGAAACTTAGTACCACAACTGCCTACAACAACTGCTACAACATATAGGACCCTATTGACAATGTTGTTCTCTCTCTCTCTCTCTCAAGTTAGTATGAGATAGGCATTCCTTCCATCATGCTGTGCAATAGGGGTGTCATTGTTTACAAGATAACCGCTGAGAAGCACAAAACACTAATTTAGCAACCCTTGAATTACTAATCCTGCGTGGTGTTTCATCATCATCTTCCACTGACATCACATTTCCTCCTCCAGACAATAAACCTTTCATCTTCAACCAATTTTCAAGTTGAATAGCCTCATCCAATCTCTGTACTACTCTGTCAAAGCATAGATACCGCCCACCGGCTCCATAATCCATGGCTTCATACGCATGAATGTGTACCTCTGCTGCCTTTCCTACATCTTGACTCGCTAGGATGCCTCTTTGTAGCATCACTTGGCCACCTACGCAAAAAGTCCTTAGTGTCGTAAATCGCAATTCAACAAGCATTTGTCAATGTCTGCGCCTCTAGAGTTGCAAACATTGCAATGAAATCAACAAGATTGTACATGTAACAAGTTGTTGAAGAAAAGTTGGCATTTTGGAGTTTCTAAATATTTTGTTTTGGATTAAAATATGTGCATAGTATAGATCATGGTACCAAAAAAAAAAAAAAAAAACTACAAAGTATAATTACCTTTAAGATATGGTAGTGAGGTTTCAATGTGTGCATTTGGGAAAGATGGAGCCATGAGAAGGGCAGGGCAAATGGTAATAAGCTTCACCTTCAATTCCCTCGATTTCCTCCAAGCCGCCTTTTCTGCTGTAGTCTTACCCAAAGCAAGCCAAAGCTGTTTTTCCCAAAAAAAATAAAAATAAAATAAAAACAAAACAAAACAAAAAACAGAATGGTCAACAAGAGGTCAAGATGATATCGCACGTCTTCCAACTAATTCGATCAGGATTTAGAGAGTGCTCAAAAGAGAGGGAAAACAAAAAAATAAATTGAAAAAAGACTTTCTTTAATAATTCTAATGCGTATAGAATATGAAAAGTTTGATTCTTTAGCAGATGAAAATCGAGGATGATGTATAAGTAATACCTTGTTTTCTCTGCAGAATGCCTCGTTGCTCCAACAACTTTCATCGACAATCCTGTCTGCATTGTTGATGTTCCAGATGGAAGCAAGGAGAGAAGAGGTGAAGATACATCTCTTCACATATGCTGCCCTGGCACAAGCTTCAATTACATTCTTTGCTGCCTCGGTCTCAAGAAATGCCGTTCGCTCCTGAAATTAATCTCTCATTTTGTCACTTCAAATTTTAGTTTATTTTTCAGATACTAGTAATTTGTATTTGGATTAAAGCTCAAGCATATATATCACGAATTGAACCCGAGACATTGAAACACACACACACACACACACAAAAAAAAGAAAAAAAAGAAAAGAAAAATGAAACCTCTTGTGTTTCATGATCCGTTTTGTTTTTTTTAAGTTGAAAAATTCTCAGTTCAAATGCTGTGGAACGCAAATTCCAAATGCCCATCAAAAGTAAAGATCAATGAGCTAGGTAACTAGTAGTTTGGTCTTTTGAGGTTTTGTGGAGTGAAAAGAGTATAGCCAACTAACCGTATATCCGGCAACACCATGTGGATCGGTGAAGGAGGAGGTGTGAAAAATAGCATGGCAGCCTCTAAAAGCTTCACACAGACTGTCCAAATCTCCCATCTTTGCTACTACAACACTCTCTAGTAGATTCATCTCTTCTTGTTTTATTAGCTCCTTCATGTCCTCAAAATCCTCTGCTCAAAGAGGAAAAAACATATATATATACATATATAAATTGATATAGTTAAAGGTTGCCATGTCTATATCTGGAAGTGTTTCAAACCACGATTTTATTTTGCCAGCCTATTTGTATTAAATTAAAAATATTAAAATCACGTTTATCATCCAAAACATAAAAAAAGGGCTACGAGCCTGCTGCTAAAGAAGGGTTTGGGAAGGGTAAGATGTATACAGTCTTAGCTTTACAGTTACCCCATTTTTGAAGAGGTTGTTTCCTGACTAGAATCCTCTCCAAACCACCTTTTTTTTTTATTTTTTTTTTATTTTCATCATCCAAAACATAACATGGTGGAAAAAACATCTCTGTACAGTTTTCTATTCTTGTATATAATATGTGTTGGTTTTTCTATTCTTTGAAGCAGTGACGTAATCAGGAATTAAGTGAAGAGGGGTACAAATTAATGATAATATTAATTTTTTTTTCTTTATAATAAACAACAATGGGATATTACATAACTTAAATGTTATGAGGTCATTTGGATAAATGTGAATTTTAAATTAAAGGAATTGAGATTAAATTTTATACAAATATTGGGGAGCAACTATTTTATAGGTAGATTGAAAAATTTAAAAAGAAGATAAGTTGAAATAGAAATGATATAGTTTAGTGGAGAAATTCTATAAAATATGCCGCAAAAAAGTGTCTATCATGTGTCGCAATTATGATATTCGTGGTCTTTAGTTATAACACATTATAGTGTTAGATATAATTTAGTTATAACTTCTTATGCTTGTTATTTTGGTTATGACTATATATCAAGTAATAGTTAGTTATGACTCATTCTAATATTAGTTATGACCTATTATAATTTTTTTTAATAATTGAAAATGTGTTGCTTGATTATAATTTATATAGCGGTCATTTTAGTTATAAATGAAAAGAAATACATGGAGGATAAACTCCACATGTTAAATGCAACTAACAATACAATAAATTTCATATTTTCATTGAAATTAATTATGTTTGCATGCCAATAATGAGAGACATAACCATTATATTGAAATTTTCATAAATAATAATATAACTTAATATAACTTCTATATTTTCAATCAAAATAATTATTATTGTTCTCATAATTTTAAAAATACCATTGACATTTCACTTCAAATAATATTTTCATATTTATTATTGTTTGAAATTTCAATAAATTTCATATTTTCATTGAAATTAATTATGTTTGCATGCCAATAATGAAAGACATAACCATTATATTAAAATTTTCATAAATAATAATATAACTTAATATAACTTCTATATTTTCAATCAAAATAATTATTATTGTTCTCATAATTTTAAAAATACCAGTGACATTTCACTTCAAATAATATTTTTATAAATTTTTTTATTTAAAATATTTTCTTTATATATATTTTTTTAAAATAAGCAGTATTTGGTTTGAAGCTGCGCTGTGTGTTAGTTTAAAAAAAAAAAAAAAGAGTTGAAATGCCACGGGGGGCACGTGACCCCCTAGGCCCTTAGAGCATCTCCAATGCACTAGGCATATAATACTTGTTAGTTAAAATGCCTAGTGTGATTCATTTTTTTCAATTCCAACGCACTAGGCATATGATTAGGCATTTTGGCTCAACTCATATTCACTAGCTACATGTAGCTAGCCTTCAACGCTAGGCAAAATGTATTCAATCATTAGGATCATTTCCCTCCATCTTTGTTGTTGACGTGGCATTCTATAAAATTAATAGTATTTGGATTAATAGCTAAAATAAAGAGCATGGTTGGAGTAAAAACATAAAACAGTTGATAGGCAAAATAAAATATATACTTTATAGTAATATTTAGATAGGTAAAATGCCTACTACCGTTGGAGATGCTCTCCGCCTGCTTTGAAGCATTGTCAGTGACTACAAACAGTTTCCTCAAGAACTCAATAAATATCTTGCTTGTTAGTGTTGGAAAATAATGGGTTTTTTGGCAATTTTAATTAGAAATTAAAGTGAGACTCAATCACCGATTGAGGAGGGTATGAGTGATTTTATATTCTCTTAAGTGAGAAAATTACAATACAAAAATAATGAGCTGAAACTATTGAGTTGTGAATGAGAATTGTCTCATAAAGTGGGTATCTATAAAGTTGGGTTTAGATTTGAACTCAATCTTAGTTCGGACTGGGCCTAGACTTGAATTTGTGCATGTGCTAGGGTTGGTCTTAGACTTGGACCTAGTCTTGAGCTTTGGGCTTAGTTTGTGTATGTGTTTGAGATTGGATTTGGATCGGGTTGTGACCCAACACCCGTATCATTTTGCAACCCATCTAGTTTAATTCTCAAAATTTATACATTATACACACATTATGAGTTATATAATGGTTTTAGAGTTTTGAACATTTGCAACTCTGGTCTTAATGGCTAGAGTTGATGGCATTTGATGACCTCATTGAAGTTAGCCTTCATCGCTAAGGTTCTCCTCTATTAGTATAAATAGAGGTCTTTCTCCTCTAACTTAGTAGGTAGTTTTTAGAGAGGTTTTGTTATGGAAAATGAGATGATGTTTTGAACTAAAAAGTTGAAGATGATTTTTTAAACCAAAGAAAAATTTTCCTATTTTTTTTTTTGTTGGCCTCTTCTTTGGTTCTTGTTAGAGAGAGTGCAACCATTATCAAGTTCGTTGAAACTATTAAGAAGGTGTTTCTACATTTGCTGGTTTCGACCGTCGTATCCTGGAAGGCAGACGTCGGCATACCTCCAGCACCCATCGAGAAGCGGTAAATCTATTTTAAGAAAACTACAGTATCACACAGGGTTCGGTTTCTTTTCTTATTATTTGTTCTTTAATTTTTCAGAATTTAGTTTACCCCGACAAGTTCTAATATTTAGTTATCCATGTTAATAATTTGTTCTTTTAATAATTTAATTTAATTTATTTTTGTATTTAGTTGTGTCGTTTATTTTGTATTTCATTCTTTAATAAAAAAACTATTTTATCATTTCTATTTAATTTGTTTTATATATTTTTCTTGTATTATTATGAAAAAATACCAACAGTAAAGGATGCATGAAACTCCTGACACTTTGATGTTTGAAGACAGTCAGCTGATTTTGTGGTTTAAATACATGACACCCAAGTCCTACATATGCCTATGCAAAAAACTGGTAATTACACCAGCTCACCTTTTGAAGTAGTTTGAGGCTTTGTGAGCAATTAAAGAGTGGTAGGGAAGTTCAATGCACATACAAGACCACTGACACTGTGGGGTTTGAGTAGAATCAGTTCTCATGGTTTAAATCCACCATGTCCCAACTCATGTACTATGCCAAAAAAATAAAGGACCCCTTCATTATAAGGCTAAGCCATTAAGGGTAGGGGTGCCTCTATCCTACACACACACAGAGGGAGAGAGAGGGGTACCTTGGTTTTGAATGGTGACTCTTATGAAGTAACCACGAGACAAGAGCTTCTTGACAAGATGAGAACCCAAGCAAGTGTTCCCACTGGTGACACAGAGAAGTTCCCTCTCCTTAATAGCACTGAAACTGCAGCTAAAACCGTTACTCCTGTTGTCAACGCACCTTTCTTCATCATTACTCAAAGCTGTTGCTGCTGGTGGCTTTGACACCACCACTTCATCTCTGTAACCATCCATCACCATCACAATCTCTCTCTCTTTCTCTCTCTGTGCTTCAGATTAATGAACTTTGAATTGAACACAAAGTGGGCTGGGGCTGCATATGAAGAAGTTATGTACAAATGGTGTGGTAGATGGAGAACATTAGATGGGAAATGCACGAGGCTGCTGCATGCTTTTATGTTCTCCTATCTATGAGTCAAAAACTACACGTTTTGTCCCCACTACTCCACTCAGACAACTCTTCTAGAAGGCTTATAAGATTTTTATACGAGTAAGCTAGAAATCCACAAAAATCTCTTATAAATTTATTTACAATGATGTGCAAACAGAAGTAAATCCTAGGCAGTTAAATATATGACGAATCAAAAGTTGTATATCTTGTTAATCATTATGAGCCTTTGTTTGGTATATAAGCTAAAATGGGGTTTTTTATGGTTAAAGCAGTCAAAAAAAGACAAAATAAGTTTTTTAGCTTAATAAAATAAAATGTCACATCCAAACTATAATTATTTCATTTTTTCTCTTATAAATATCAATAAAATCAAAAAGCTTATTCTAAACCAGACTTTTTAGTCACAGACTAAAAAAATTAAAAAATCAAAAAATCAACTCACATCCCAAACCAATCCTAAATCAAATTGTGAGATGTTTTTGAGGATCTTAAAACATTTTTTATATATATAGATTAGACGGGGTCCTATACTTTCTCTCATTGGTTATATTTTTTTTTTTTTTTTTTTATTATTATTTTTCAATTCATCTACACCCACGTGACAAAGGGGGTGAGGGGTGACCCCCAAAAGGGGTCCCAAGCATTATTCAAGAAATTATATATCTTTCATGCAGTCAAACAATCAGAAGGACGCAATCTTAAGATTGACTTTGAAGTTTTTTCTTAGGGGTGGTTAATTAAAGTGTTATTGGCTTTAAGTCAGCTTATTGGTTTAAAAAAAAATTATGTTAATTTTTTCTCTTTTTTTGTTTAAGTCATTTGACAAATCTTTTTTTTTTTTCCCAAAAAACTAATTTTATTTTAAAAGTCCATAGTAAAACCAAAAAAAACTATGAATATGTCATACAAACTATTTTTTTTAGCGTTATTTATTTATTTTTTTTATTTTTTGCTGACTTAAAATAGCCTATCATATTTTAGCAAACTTCCAAAAGTTAGCCTTTTGGTTTAAAACCCTCAATATGGAAGTGCTTAAAAAACTAATGGGGAATTTTTTTTTTAAAATCCCTAGTATTAAGATTTTATAATATAAAGGACATTCAATATTTTCATAATGTCTAAGATCTCTCAAATCAAACCAGAGAAAATTCAATCTCCAAACCAAAAAAAAAAAAAAAAATCCAAACCAGAAAAATTCTCTCCAAACCAGAGAAATTCTCTTTGATTTACTTATAATTTTCTCTGATTTTTTTATCATTTTCTCTACCTTCAACAAAACCAGAGAAATTCTCTCCAAACCAACATGAAAGCCCCATCATTGGCTCTACCTCTCTTAGACAACCATTTGAACTCTTCACATGCTCTCTGTTATGCAAATCAACAACCTCTATCTCTCTTAGACAGCTATTTGTTCAAAATCTGACATTCCACCTAAATAGATAGATGAATGTAGTCTTTCCAATCCAAGACACGCTTTTTACAATTTTGTTTTTTTCCCTAAATTGAATTTAATGTTTAAACAAAGATAGTATTAAAATTAGAGAAGTAGTAGTGATAGTTACCTTCATAGCTGAAGAGTGACGGCCATATGACTGAGGCCACAGCTAGGGATTCTACCGGCAACTTACAGTAGGCCGTCATGTACACCACCACCACCAAACCCTTCCACCATGGCGTAGAGAGAGAGAGAGAACAAGAGAGAGAGAGAAAGAGACAGAGACAGAGACAAATTGCTAGAGAGAGAAAGAAGAAAGCAAGAAATTGCAGCTCAGATCGTGCTCAGATCGCGATGCTTCATGTTCTCATCTGCTAGCGACGCTACCTATGCTTGAGACCTGACGGATGACAACCCAAATACTTCGCTGTCAGTGGTATGTCTGTGTATTGGTGATGTGAGAGAGAGAGAGAGAAGGAGAGAGAGAGATTGTGTACAAATCCAGATTGTGAGTAGGCTAGGGTTTGGTTTGGGCAGATGAAGAGAAGAGAGGAGAGAGAGAGAGAGAGAGGGGGAGCGGACTTGGTAAGTTTCTAACAGATAGAGAGAGAGTTGATGTGAGAGAAATCTCTCTCCGATATAGAGGTATGGGATTGAAGGACCTTAAACATTATAAAATAATATTGTGGATCTCTTTTATTACTAAAAATGAAAAAGTGACTTTAGACTAATTTTCCCAAACTAATTAGCTGGGCATACTTTTGACTTTTGTTAACTCTTCTAATGATTTTTTAAAGTGGTTTAAGTTGACTTTTAAATAGAAACAATAGTAACCAAAATATTGTTTTCTTATGATGGCTGGCTTGATGTGAAATTATACAAATACCTTGAGGGTAGAATTTGAAAATTGACTTATCTTGTAGGTCTCTCAGTGCCCAAGAGACTTGTATTCACATGGCTACCAAGTCTATCGTTAGGTGATGTAGAATCGCAACAGGTACTAAGAAAGATAAACCACTGACACACGAGGAAAAGGGTATGCAATAAAACAACTGAAGGCTTAATATGTTAATTAAATAAACAGACAGTTGTATCAATGAATATCGACACAGAATAAAACCAAAACACAGAGAGAGAGAGAGAGAGAGAGAGATTCATGCGTAGAAGCAACCATGTTAGCAGAAAAACAGAATTACAGGAAAATTTTAAAGAAAAAATGCATAAGATTATACATGTGAGGCACAAAGGGGACCTAATTACAAGAACTCAACTCTCAATGGAGGGTCTGGAAAATAATTCTGATGTCAATAAAAGAATTGCAACCTTTTAATATGTTGTTTCCGGGCATACAGAGAAATTCACTGGTGGGTTCAGTATGCCTAGTAAGGCCTATACTTGTTTTGATTACTCCATACTAGTTCGATGCACACTCAACTCCTCCAGCTACTCTGAGAATGATCAAAAAATTCCGAACTGTACTCTTGACTTCCAAATGCCATCCTCTGAAACATTCTGATCTGTGCAGATTGTTCCCTTGAATTGAAAATTTCACTTTGTCCAGGTTTCATCCCATTGGTTAGATCTGTGAACTCACCTATGGAGTCTAGAGCTCTTACCACCTGAGAACAGGGTAAAGAACAAGAGTCATATATTAATTTTTAAGTTTAGTCCACTTGAAGTTTAAAATTTAAAAAGAAAAAAAAGAAAAAAAAAAAGAAGAGAGGAAATTATGCACAAAAAAAATAAAAATAAAAAAAATCAAGGTTTTGGTGACTACCTGACTCATTCGTGGTCTCTTCGAGGCTAAATGCCGTATACAAGCTGCAGCTGCTTCAATCATCCGGAACATCTCAGTTTCAACATAGTTGTTTTCCAGCCTTGGATCTGCCAACTCTTCAAACCGTTCACTTTCAAGTGCTTGATTAAGCAATGGTCGAGCCTACAAGAAAAGTTGGAATATTGATGAAACGATATGGTCTGACAACTAGTTGGAGACTGTGACTACACACACAAGCCTAGCAGGAGCATCAGTAAAGGCAACAAATGGTATGGTTTAATCATTACAAATTCCGATTAACGCATGAATAAAAACATAAAACAATCATTGACTTGTGTCCATATTCCAATTAGCCAAAATCAAATGTTGCAACATCTACTTCAAAAGCTGTGTCTTTACTGATACATTTTCTTTCTGATTAACCCAAAATTCGTGGTTATGAAGCTTACCCATTCAACCAGGCTCTCATCACCTAGTGGTTGAGATGCATCCACAGGCTTGCGACCAGTAATGAGCTCTAGAAGCACGACCCCAAATGAATATACATCAGATTTTTCAGTCAATTTGCCACTTGATGCGTACTCCGGAGCCATGTATCTGGAAAATTACCCGAGACCATTCAATACAAATAAGAAAAGGAAAATATGACACATTCACAACTCCATTGTCACAGACCTTCTTCTTGCCATATTTTCAAACAAAATATGCAACACATTTCTACTTGATATGACATTTTTTTATTAGTAATTACGTGCTCCCAACAAAATCCAATTGCTGTGACGGTAAAGCCATCAAATATACCTTTTATTCTCTAACATTGACACATGATTGTGCTTATATAGCACGATATATAAACCAAAAGATCTACTTGCCGCCATATATTGTACTATTTTCTTCATTAGCTATCAATGCTGTAAAATAAAATGATGTATATTATTGATTGATGAGTTGATGATTGATATTTGATTCTGTTACAATTGATTGATTATATAGATGTAGGTTAGGTGGTGGTAGGTGAGGAGTAGGTGAGTGTAGTAGGTGAGTGTGTGGTAGGTGATGGTAAGTGTGTGGTAGGTGATGGTAAATTCTAACAGCCCCCCGCAAACTCAAGGAGGATAGAAACTAACCAACTTGAGTTTGGAGAGAGGAACAAAACAAGAAAATATATAAAAAATAAAATAAAGATAGGAGACACTGTATGGTCGTGTCAGACCGTTGGTGAAGACACTGAAAGGTGGTGCCATAACGTGGTAGAGCAACTCCATTGTCACAGACCTTCTTCTTGCCATATTTTCAAACAAAATATGCAACACATTTCTACTTGATATGACATTTTTTTATTAGTAATTACGTGCTCCCAACAAAATCCAATTGCTGTGACGGTAAAGCCATCAAATATACCTTTTATTCTCTAACATTGACACATGATTGTGCTTATATAGCACGATATATAAACCAAAAGATCTACTTGCCGCCATATATTGTACTATTTTCTTCATTAGCTATCAATGCTAACCATATATAGATTACCTACCCAAAAGTTCCCATCACACGAGTTGTCACATGTGTATTTGCATCCGCAGCTAATTTTGCAAGACCAAAATCTGCCACCTGTCAGTCAGACAAATCACCATGCTAAGCACAAGTGCACAAACAAAATGGAATATTGGATTCAAATTGCGAATTTGTGATAGTTGATGTATGCTGCTAAATCACAACACATGACACCATATTACAAAGATTAGCCAAAGGCATTATGCGACAGGAGTTCAGAGAAAAAATGTTGTTTAATCGAAGATCAGCTACAGAAAAGGCATACCTGAGCTTCAAAGTTTTTGTCTAATAGAATGTTCGACGACTTGATATCCCTGTGAATAATTCGGGGATGACCTGATAAACAAAGTAACAGGAAAAACACGTCATAGAAAGCGTGAGTGATATAAATGACTTCGAGAAAATTATCTAACAAGGACAGCATAACACATTTAATTTTGCCACAATGAACTTTGTATGTTGCAAACATTAGATAAAAATAAGAAGGTTCTGGTTACTTGAATATTTGTGACCCCAAGCATGCATGTCTTGCATTTTCACAACATAGGATAAATTAAAGTTTAATTAAATAGCAAATAATGATTAAATAAGCGTAAGTGTGTGACATCCAAATAATAATGAATTAGTGCTGATAGCTATGCATGCGTGTACAATCTACAGGCATCACAGGACAAACAAATAAAAATAGGCAAGTCTAGAAACAAAAGCAAGAAATTACAGTCTTCATGCAGGTAAGCTATTCCACGAGCTGCACCAGCAGCAACTTTAACCCGGGTTGCCCAATCCATGACTGCCCTACCTTCACCTGCTAAATATAAGAAAAGTGCGGGCTGGGATTAGTGACATTGTATTTTCTTTGAAAGGTAATTTTCAGTTGAACATCAAACCACTGGTTAGTAAACATGTTTAACAGCAGAAGTCACATCACAACATAAGCATCTTTTATGGGTTTGTCAATGCAAAATAAACCATAATATATGAATCACAGACACCTCTTCGAGGTCACATACTGGTGTCCAACATGTGTTGGACACACTGAAGGGAGTGTCCCTTTTAGTCAGACACACAATGGACACATTGGGGATACGTTGGGAACACACTGAGGACATGTGGTGTCCAAATTTTTTAAAATAAAATTTCTTCATCGAAGTAGCATAACCAGGATTGATGATTTTATGAGAATAATATTTGACAAATAATAAATATATAAAATTATATATTTTGCATGAGTCCCACGTGTGTTGTGTCCTGCATTTTTTAAAAATTTGTGTTCCTCAGGTTCAATTCATTTCCGTGTCCATGTCAGTGCTTCTTAGACCATGATTGATTCAGCTCTTAAACTTCTTAGCTGGTTACGTATACATGTTAACACCAGCAGACGCATTGCAATAAGAACATTTTTAAGGGATTGTATTGGCCAAATAATTATGTATATACGAGATCTGTGACGTACTTCAATCCTGAAATCATTTACAAACAAATACACACGAGCACGCAAAAGTTTGCTTTTTGATGTCAAAGCACTGAAGGTCAAGGTCCATTTTATTGATACTCAAAACAATATCTTACCATAGAGATGATAATGAAGGGTGTCATTTGGGACAAAATCATAGACAAGCAATCTTTGATGCTCAGATATACAGTAACCCACAAGAGAAACCAAATGACGGTGGTGTACCCGACTGATAATCTCGACTTCTGCTCTAAACTCACGCTCCCCTTGTCCACCACCTATCTTTAGCTGTTTAACAGCAACTTCTCTTCCGTCTACAAGGAACCCTTTGTATACACAACCAAATCCACCTTCGCCCAAAAGATTCTGCGCTGAAAACCCATTTGTAGCCTTGGATAGCTCTTCATAAGTGAACCAGGACTTTGAATTGCCTACTCCACCAGGCTCTGGCGAGTACATGAAATTGCTTCCAGAAGCACTTTGGGCTACGTGAACTGAATTTGGGGGCCTTAGAAATGATGAATCTGGAGAGCACAGGAAAATTCAATCATGTTATTGTCATGCCCTCATTGTCATATAATATCCCTTGTAGTTCGCTAACCAACTTCAAAATATGGCTCATGGTAAATGTTGCATTGTGGAATCTCATTCTTATAATGGGCTTTAAAATTCATTTGGTTGCAAACAAATTATTAGAAAATAAAAGATAATTTGAAATCGTATAACAGAAACAAAAAAACTCAAAGCAGCATACGGTTCCTTGATTTCATAAACAGAGCTTTTCCAAAGAGAATCAGAGAAGAACATTTATGCTTCATCAACTTCACCTCGCTCAAAAAACATATGAACAAGCAGATTAGCAAAAGATACAGCCCTAAATGAAGTGCAATGAGGAACAAAATCTAAGCAGGTAATACTATTGGATTGAATAGATTTCTTTGTGTCCTGCTTAGTTTAGCAGATGCTGTATCATTTGCACTTTTGACAAGTCTAGGTGAATTGAACTAATATGTGAATCTGAGGTACAATTTAACATGGATCAAAAGCATGCCTGTACTGCAGGTGATTCTATGCATTCAGCACTAGACAATTATGTAATTGCTTTAAGCAGAGCATGCCTGTTCTGCAGGTGATTCTATGCATCCAATTTGTATGATTGTAACAAGAAGAGAATCATATCAGGATGGGATACATTAATTCTCTACCAGATATTTATTAGAGCATTCCAGAAAAATCTAAGCATAAGCTAAATGAAGACAATTCAATATCTAAGATTCCCAATATGAGGTCAGAAGGAAAACAATGTAGTACTAGATGAACATCATACAAAGAATTACCTGAATGTTGGGAAGAAGCAAATGGAGAAGACATAATGTAGCCACCATTCAATCCAGTTGCCCTTCTCTTTCGTTTCCGTGTGAACCACACACCCATCACAACTAGACTAAGTGCCAAAAGCCCAACAATAATGCCGATTGCCATGGTACCTCCAGCCTTATTACTGCCACTACCTGTTGATATGGTATTGGCCCCTGCACCTGAACCAGGTGTAGTTGATCTTGCAGTTGGTTTTTGCGTAGGAAGAGAGGGTAATGGTGAGATAGGGGGGATTGTACTGACCGATGAATTAGTTGGAGCAGGAGGAGAAACAGGAGTTGGTGAAGATGACGAGGGTACAGGAGGAGGAGGAGGAGATGATGTGGAATCCGGGGGTGGTGGGGGGGAACTTGTTGGGGGCGGGGGAGCTGGTGGAGAACCAGGTGGAGAAGGAGGTGTTACCCTAGGAGGTGGAGGAGAATTTTGCGGTGGCTTTGCAACTGGTGGAGGTGGAGAATTGGCAGAAGGCGGCAATGGAGCTTTTGTTGGGGGAGGTGGAGAAGCTGAAGGGGGAGGTGGAGATGACTGGGGGGGAGAAACTGCTAATGGCGGTGGTGGAGACAAAATTGGAGGGGGTGGTGAATTGGCAACAGGAGGAGGAGAGGTGGCAGGCAGTGATGGAGGTTGAGATGGTAGAGGAGGAGTTGGTGATGTTGGAGGCAATGGTGGCGGTGAAGAAGTAGGTGGCGGTGTTGCTGTTGGTGGAGGTGAAAGCGGTGGAGACGGAGGAGGGGCAGCAGGAACTGCTGGTGGAGGAGATTGAGGAGGTGGGGCCAAAGAGTTGGAAGGGGTGGAAGGGGATGAAGGAGCTGGTGTATTAGAAGTCTGACTGGGTTGAGAAACTGTGGGAGGAACTGTAGTGGGTGAAGAATTTGAAGGAGGTCCTGGTGGGGTAATACTGGAAGTTGGTGGAGGTATGGGAACAGAAGGGTTTAGAGGTGATGTTGTAGCCATCTCTTTCTATGAATATTTACCAATCAATGAACTATGGATCTAACTAGCTATCTATCCATAAAATCCATGTTGCATTATAAACAACAACTGTCTCAACAAATTTCTAATTTTCACAAATAATTCCAGAAATCCAATAGCAAATCCCAATTATCCGAAGAATTTCACTATCAATACCCAAATTCTCCAAACATAACTCCAATGAACTTCGATTTTCACTTAGAAAAAGGCAACTTTACTCAAATCAAGCAAAAAAGAGTTGAGAAAACCCTAATATGAGCAAAACCCAGATCACCAATTTCAAAATCTGAACCAAAAACAGATCAACAAAATCCACTAAGAGCAAAACCCAGAATTCCTAAACTGATGTCAAATTCTCTACTTTACCCAGATTCACAAATTAACTACACAATCCCAAACTTTCATGTGCAAATGCAACATACCCAGGTCACCAAAATAGACAAAGAAAAGGAAAAAACACTCAAAAAATAGTCTTACCTCTGTCTCTTTCTCTCTCTCTCACTCTCTGGAGTTGGAATCTCCGAAATACAGAGTATTTTTCCAAGAAGCTTTTCTTTTTCAGAGAAAATGGTAGAGGTGTACCCAAGAAATGTGCAAGGGAACGTGGGGGCGACTTCGAGAGTCCTCACGATGTGTAGGGAGAGAGAGAGAGAGAGTATAAAATAGAATCAATCACGGAAGTCTCAGCATGACCAGAGTCGCAAGAAATTAGCTGTTTGTATCACAAAAACAAACAAATACATATATGAATACGCGTATTAAAAATAGTAGTAGTAATCTGAAAGTAGTGGAGGTAAGTTTAGTGCCAAGAGCGTTAAGAGGAAGCGAAGTCAAGGAAAACATTTGATATTTTAGAGTATCAAGGATCCTCTAGAGTGAAATTTTTCTAAAGTTTCTTAGAGTGTTTCATTGTGTGGTTGAGATTTATTGGCAAGTCAACACTCTAGAAAACTTTAGAAAAAAATCACTCTAGAAGATCCTTGCTCATTTTAGAGGCCATGTTTGGGAGTTGGGGCTCCTGTTCTGTTCTGGTTGTTACCTTTTATCATACATACACATGTTCTTGAAAATACTTTTGTATTTTTTTTAATATCACATTCTTTTTGTCAGAGTTTATAACCACTGTTTTGTCTTTTTTGTTTTTGGATATAAATTACACACCTTTCGTTTGAGAAAATTGGACTCACTTTTTAAAAAATTAAGATTTCATTTGATTTAAATTTTTTAAACTTATATTCAATTCAACTATTTAAAAATTCTTTTTAAAATTCATAATTAAATTTTTTAAATTTACAATCAAACAAATTTTAAAATTTCAAGTTCTTTTTAAAATTTAAACCAAACAAATTTTAAATTTGGTCTTGTTTAGTTTGTGTTTTGAGATATTATTTCCAAAATAATTTTTTGGAAAGAGTTTAGAAAATTTAAAAATTTGTTTGATTGTATATTTTAAAAATAGTTTTAGAGTTTTGGATGATTTTTGATTTTTTTTTGTAGTTGAATAGATGTGTGTGGGAAAAAAGTGATTGAGAAAGAGAGATGAGATAGAAAAAATGATTGATTGATACGTAGTAGAAAGAAAAGTGATTTTACAATTTTTTCTAATTTTTTTTTTAAAGTATTGGTCAAATAATTTGTTATTTTTTAGATATATATATGGGCAATTCAAAAAATATACGTAAACAGTAAACAAAATGTGAGGAAATGAAAAACAAATATAAGAAATATTAAACATTTTAAATGTATGTAAATTGAGTGAATGTAAATTAGAAAATCAATTTTAAAATTTTGAAAACATTCTTACAAACTAATATATATGTATGAAACTTTACCCTATACATTATATTAGATCTAAATACATTTAGATTACGTATGTTAAAGTTTTAAATAAAAATACATAATGATAAAAAATAAAAATAAGATTGATTATAATATTGTAAAAGAAGTAAACAAAATTGGCTATAATATTGTAAAAAAAATTTGACTACAAGATAATTAAAAACAAAAAAACACATGACCTAAAAAAATTCTAATTAAAAACTAATTTTAAAAATTCCTAACCAAATAAGTTTTCAATTTTCAAATTCTAAAATCTACTTTCAAAATATATAACTCAAAAATGAGTTTCAAAATTTATAACCAAACAAGTTTTAAATTTTCAAAAACTTATCTTTCAAAATAAATTTCAAAACTAAACCAAACATAATTTTTTTTCCTATTTTTTATTTTTAGTCAAAATTTTTAATATTATAATAATTAAATTTTAAAAAAATAATCAAAAGCAAATAAGATGACTGTTGGTCTGAATATACGCATCTTGATTATTTAATTCTAAAAAAAAATATATTTAGAATGATTTAAATAAGTATACTTTTTACTTTTTTACAAAAAGATGAACAGAAAAATAAAAAGATGATATAACTCAAAAAAGATAAAAAAAATAAAAAATATATTTATATAGTGTACCCCAAACTAAGTACTTTCCACTTTGCATTAATGAAAATTGTTTTTTAAAAATTAGAAAAAAGATTAAAAAATTCTCAATTTGTAAAAAATACTTTTAAAATAATAAAGAGTGCCTCTAATTTTTCTTAGATTTTTCTTGAGTCTTATAGTGGGTATTAGTACATTATTTTAATTTTTTTTAAATTTGTAGGCAAATTATAATTGAAGTGTATCTTTTTACATTGTATCAGTTTTTTTAAAAATATTTTTGGTAGAGGATAGAGTGGGTGGGAGCGAATGGATTAGAGTAATGGTAGAGATTTCAAAAGTTCTGTTAAAATTTCTACCAAAGATTTCACATAGGTGTGACACTCATACCTAGGGGTGCAACTCGAGCGGATTTAGCAGAGTTGAGAGGTTGTCCAAATCCAGCCCAAGTTGTGCTGAGACCTGCCCAAGTCCGAATTGTAACTTGAGATTGTCTGTCCAAGCCCAACCCGAGTTAAACCTGAATTGTCCGAGTTGCCCGAATTATAAATGAATTTCAATTTTTTTTCCCAGCTACATTATTAAATTATTAAAATTTGACTCTATTTATAATTTTTTTTATTATATAGAAAGTCATTAATACCATCAAAACAAATAATTTATATAATGTAAGAGAGATACCATTATAGTAGTCCACAATTTATGAGTGAAAATAAAAAGAAAAAAATTAAGATTTATTTGTATATATAATATACATTCAATATGATTTAATAATATAAATTACTTTAATATCATGTAATGACTAATAATTTATATGTATATTTAATATTTATATATATATATATATATATAATTCGGGTTCGGGTTACTCGGGTTGTTTGACATCTTTGCCTAAACCCATTCAAATTTAATTCGGGCTTTTGAATTTTTGCCCAAGCCCGTACCGAATTTAAAAATATTTTGTCCAAGCCCTAAAAAAATTTGGACTAGGCTAGGATTGCTCGGGTTGAGCCCGCCTAAGTTGCACCTCTACTCATACCATGTGGGTTCCATATAGAACCCACACCTATGTGAGATATTTGATAAAAATTTTAATAAAATTTTTAAGATTTTTAATATTTTTGAATGGATTATTTTTCACTCATTACCTCACTTATCAAAAGTCCTCTTCATTGAGGCTGAAAGAACTAAAACACAATTGGTTGACAATTAACATTCTGTAAGGACTGATTGATCCTTGCTGGCACACTCACAATTACAAAATAACCTTCGAAAGCCAAAAAAGCCAATATATATTTTTGGCACGCCCAATGAGACTAATTGAAATGGCTAAATGTAAGAGGCAAGGAGAAAATGAACGCTTGGAAGAAGGAGTGGTTCCTCATTTGCCAAGCCCTGTTTGGAGATTTGATTTTCAGTTCTAGCGGCATTGGTGCTGATTGTGTTGATCGAGAGAGCACTAGGAATGGTCAGTTTTTTGTTAATTCCCTCTGTAAGTGATAATTGTTGTTCTATTTGCCCCTTTTGTGCCCAGTAAAAACACATACATCCCCATTTCTTCTATCAATCAATCAACCATACACAGAATAAATTGAGTGAGGATCCAAAAAATTGATGTCCTCATTATTGTCAAGTAGTAACCAACCAAATAAGAATCAGGCCAAAAAATGAAATCTTATAAATAGAGATAGGAAAAAGACTTAGACCCTAGTGGGGTGACCCTCACTACCCCCACTGTTTTTTGATTGGTTCAAAATTATTATTATTTTTTTATTTTTTATTTTTTTTAGTCTTGTTTTCACAACCTCCCACCTGGAGGTGGGGGGTGCTGGGGTCCCAACACTGTTGATAAAGATAGGAAAATGGCTCAGACCCCCAGTGGGGTGACCCCCCACCACCCCCACTGTTTTATGATTGGTGAATTTTTTTTTTTTAAGTCCTGCTATCACAACTCCCCACGTGGAAGTAGGGGTGCTGGGGTTCACCCCTACTGGGGTCCCAGCAGCATTGCGGGTGCGGGGGTAGGGGTGGGATTCTTTTCCTCCCACGATCATGTTTAAATGTCAAAACAAAATAATGTTTTGATTTGGCTTAACAAAAAACATATATGTATAAATTTATTTATTTATTTATTTTTATCAGTAGTGCTACTTGCACTCCCATTCTTTATATGTATAATATTTTCTCTTGTATATGAAAAATTACTTATGTCACTATTTTTAATATATACTAAATTAGTGGTAATCCGTAGGGGACTTTATAAATTACAAAAAAAAGAAATTATATCTTGAAATTATTTAATATTTTGTCTTGTGATATACATGAAATTTATAAGTTAATTTTTATATTTATAATTTTTTAAATTATTAGTTTAAAAAAATTAAAAAAAATATATATAAATCTATTTAGTGCAATAAAAAAGTTAAACCTGATTAAATGAGATTATATGAGTTATGATATATCTGTTCTTATTATGAAAATATATAAATTTAAAAGTTATAATTAAGACAAATATATAATTTTATTATTAAATGTGAAATGAAGTAATATTTAGTAATAATTGATATGATATTTTTATTATTAATCCAATAATTTAAGTTACATTTCTTTTGATTTCAATTTCTTAACTAAAAATACAATATGAATATAATACACACAATGAATAAGAAACTATTAGAATATTTCCAACCTTTCATCATTTTCTTTTAATTTTTTAATCTAATTTGATTTTAAATTTGAATAAAAAATTTTGATTTGATATGAATTATTTTAATTTTTTCATTAAATTTGTATCAATTTTAAAAAACTTTCATTCTCATCCCAAATTTTTTTTCTTCTTTTCATCAATTTTGATGGAAAAAACAATAATTTTCAATTGTTCATCTTTTTAAATTTTTCTAAAAATACAATATGAATATAATACACACAATGAATAAGAAACTATTAGAATATTTCCAACCTTTCATCATTTTCTTTTAATTTTTTAATCTAATTTGATTTTAAATTTGAATAAAAAATTTGATTTGATATGAATTATTTTAATTTTTTCATTAAATTTGTATCAATTTTAAAAAACTTTCATTCTCATCCCATTTTTTTTTCTTCTTTTCATCAATTTTGATGGAAAAAACAATAATTTTCAATGGTTCATCTTTTTAAATTTTTAACAAATTATAATTTGATAAAAAAAATATTAAGGGTTGAAGAGTCTCTTAATTAGAATTATAGTAAAATAATATCTTGAAATAGTGAAAGTTTGAGTATATGGTTGGTTGAAATGTATAATTTGATTAATTCTTTTCTCATATTTGTATAAAAATTGATACTTATGACCACATCATTATAATTTTGAGATGTCAAAAATTTTGAGATGTCAAACATTTTCCATTTGTAAAATATCCTACC